TGACGCATGATTCGCAGAAGGGATTTCGGTATCTGTGTGTAAGCAAATGAGCTATGGAATTGGCGTCCTTCTTGAGGACTCCCACTTTCCTCTTTATTGATGATCCTTCGTACACGTCTACTTCGATTCCGGCATCTGGATCATCTTCATCAACCTCTTCCTCGTGAGCTTCGGCATCACCATGTCGATGCGGGACTGACCCAACATCTACAGGTATTTCCTCAGCCACGGGAGGCGGACGTACCGGACCGGCTCCTCCGGGTGGCCCGAAGTCGAATGCCCCGTCGTGGTGTTCGCCCTCGGCCTCTGCGGACTCACCGACAGCGGCGGGTGTGACGTCGTTCTCATCGTCACCTCCCTGATCTGCCTCGTCGTTCGTTACCATCGCCAATACTTCCGAAAAGTGCTCCTTGAGGTCGTCTATCGTAGGGCGATGCCTGTTACTCCGAAGTTTACCATCACTCACTAGGTACGGGATGTCGTCCTTGACCTGCAAGTGCACGAATCCCTGCTTTGGCGTAACCATGAAAGGTAGTTTACCAGGCATCCAGTGAAATGCATAACCCATCTTCATGCATCTCCTCCCCACTGACAATACCGTGGGTGTCTCATCCAATACATGCGGCTCGACAGTCTCGTCCAACTCGTCCACGACTATCTTGGCCACATCAGATGTGGAAGTGGAACCATTCGCGGTCTGGAACACGATCTCGTCGTCATCTTTCACGATGTCGACACCCAGGCTCTTCGCCTTGGCTCTTCCGATGAGATCATGACCACATCCGGTGTCCATCAACCATTTCACCCGTTTGCTGATGCACGTTGACATGGCGAAAACGTTCTTCGGCATACCATGCTGTTTCTTCCAGTCGACAGCCGATTCCTTGATCTCGTCCTTGTTCCGATCATACTCGAACATTATGCTGCTCTCCTTGGTCACCGGGAAGTAGTGCTTCTTATATATATCATCCACCACTTCTCTCAGTATCTTCGCACGTATCAATGATCGTTGGACTTGATAGGCTGATAATTCACGATGATCACTGCTTTTGAACTTCTTCTCGTCGACGTACACGTACTGATAAGGCTCATTCTCATTGTCCTCATAACCGTACCATTCTCCTTTTCGTTCCCATTGCCTTCTCTCGTCTTCGAGGTAGGTGATCTCCCCATTCTCGTCGACGTCGAGCACTTCCTTGAACCACACCATTTTCTCGGGGATCTCGGACTCGCCAGACCATCTCGATGATTCGCTCATCACGTCGTCATCGTGCTCGTGGTAGATAGTCTCGGCTTCGTCCGGTTCGACCTGATCAACGTCCTTCTTGAAGCTTACCTTCCCTGCAGGAGCCGATTGCTTCAGGACTATCGCGGGCATTGCGATGGCCCTCCTCGCAATGGCAGGCGCTGCGGCTTTGGCGGCAGCCTTCGACTTGGCTTGCGCCTTGTCATTTGACGTTGCTGGAGCTGAATTGTTCTTGATGAGCTCATGCCTGTACTTGCAAGCGCTTCCCCTATCGCACTTCCCCTTCTGAAACGCGAAGCATGCTCCATCATCTCTCTTTGGTGACGATGATCTGGACTTGGATTTGCCCTTTCCTTTCCCCTTGGACATACTCTCCAACTTGTGCTCCGTCTTCTTGCTGTGGGAAAAAGTGCATTCATTCCCTTTCACGCACCCCTTCGCCGATTTGAAGTGGTACCAGCAGGGGTTATCCTTGCTTCCGCCCGGACTCTTGCCTCTGTCGCTGGCACCGTCGGACTTGCCGTTCTTGCCAGCGTGGCCCTTTGCTTTGGCTTTTGGGAGCACAGGAGCGGCATCAGGTCCACCGGGTTTCCCCTTTCTGCCCTTGCCACCCTGGTTCTCCTGTTTGCCAGTTGCTGGAGCCGCATCCTTCCCGCCTGACTTCATCATCGACTTGACCGATTTCTCCTTCATGTCGAGCATCAGGTCTTCCCGATCTGCCTTGATCTGATAGTCGATCAACGCCAATAAGAATTCATACGTCTTCTGAGGATGCTTGTCCGGTAGTCTATGGTAGGCATTGAGGCCGAACTCCATCTTCTTGCTCCCTTTGATCTTCCTGTAAAGGATGTCTCTGAGAGCCAGCTTACTGGGTCTGTCCTCGCTCCTCATCTTCAGCAGCAAATCATACCATTTGTTCCTGAACATGACCAAGTTCTTGTCGCCAGGAAAGTCAAGGTTGAATAGATGCTCGATGTGGTAGACAAGATCCGTTCTATCGGAAGTTCTGAATGATTGCATAACTAATGCCACCAACTCTCGTCCCTTCACGATCACCCCTTGTTGATGTCGTAGTTCAGAGTGTCGTGTAGCATCGAGGTATACGTCCTTGGCTTCGTCAGGTGCTTGTTTCAGCATGTTCTGCATGCCCATGGCCATCTTAATATCTATCGTAGCAAATCTGTCGCCACCTGAATCGCTAAGCAAATCCAGGTCTGGGTTCAACCCAAGAGCCTGCTCCAGCCATTTCGTCCATGCGTCGGTATCTGGATCTGCACATGCGCTCAGAACATTCATCAGCAGTTGCATCTTCCAGGTGTCAAGTTGATGGATCTTTGGCCAGGCCGGAATAGATACTCTCTCGGCCTCTTTCCTCGAGATTCTCGGTCGATCATTCTTGATCTCTCGGTTATCTCTCGATCTCCTTCGTCTCCTCCGTGTCCGATCGTCTTCTTCCTCTTCTTCTTCCTCGTCTTCCTCATCTCCTTCGTCGTCGTCATCCTCATCCTCATCATCGGGTGGATCATCCGGAGGTCCTCCTCCGCCACCAGCGAGGCTCAACTGACGTCGACCCGCTCCCTGCCCATTCCCATTGGGCGGGAATCCACCGTAATCCAATGGGGGTGTAGTACCGTTGTTTCCCCCTCCATCACCACCACCAGTCGTAGTAGTGGATTGTGGGACATGCCCAACAACCCCTTGCATCTGGGATAGGTGTACATCGATCATTGGATCACCGAAAGACGGAAAGAGGATCGAACCTGGCATCAGCGACGAATTAGGGATTTGTTTCGAAGACGATGACGGGATTAACCCAGCCACCTTCTTGTCTATCCTACTCGAATTAGCCTGGGTTCCTCCCTCAGCGCGTTTCACTACTGCTCGTTCACGATGTCCATCTTTGCTGCTGGAGGCTTCCTGCATCTCCAGCTTCTTGTGTGCACGTAGTTCCTCGTTGTCAGCATCGAGTTGGCGCACAAAACTCTCTTCTTGCTTGAGCGTCGCCTCTCTTTCCTTCAGTTGTCCCTGAAGCTCATGCATCTCCTCGAGGTACTCATCGTACACTCCCTTGGCTGTCTGTCTCCAGTACTCAGCCTCCTTCGACTTCTCGTCCATCGTGCACCGTTCCTCTTGTTTCTCTTCTTTGACCTGGGCTAACTCCAAGATCGCATCCTGACGATGACCACCTTCGACAGCAATCATCTGGTCCTTCATCGACACGTCGGACTCATACTGTTTGACGATCTCTTCTTTTTCGCGAAGCAAGCAATCTGCTCTCTTCGATTCCTGTTCCGCAAATACTGTAACGTCATTCAGCCTCGTCATCAGCTGTTCCCTGGAGTCCTCCAAAGAGTACGTCTCGGGGCGCTTGACGAGTGCATGCTCCAACTGTGATTTCAGACTTTGGACCATCTCCTCCTCGTTGAACTTCTCGATAGATGTAGAAGATTCTATGCCTCTGATCTGTTGCTGATAAGCTGATATCTGTTGTGAAGCCTCACGGTGTATCTGATTTGCACGTATAGCTGATTCCTGCGCGGCCGACTTCTCGCTTGCCATGTAGGATCTCATCAATGCAATCTCCCGCTTCTGCTCCATGATTGTTCCTTCAGCTTGCCTCATCTGTTGCATCATAATATTCGACTCCATGTCTTTCTTCTCCCCGTACTGAAATCACCTTGCGCATCTGTTGGGCTTCTTCCTCAAACTTGCGCCATGCCTCAGCCATGTGGTGTTGGTGGTGACTCACTAGATGTCCCGACTGCTTGCTGGCAATCTCGCATCGTCTTTCCAGCTCCTGGATCCGGATGGTGCTTCCATAGTCTTCTTGGTTAAGATTCGCCATTGCTGCCGACATCTCATCAAGTGTCTTCTGATATTCCCCGATCTCCACCTCCATCTTATTCTTCTCTTTGATCACGGCGCGAAAATCTGCACTGGTGGGTGATTTTGACCTCCCACCCTTCGATGTCGATCTCACGCCCTTCTGCGACGTCCGTGGTGTCGCAGGCGAAGATGATGATCTTCTCGGTGGGGATTCTCTTTTCTTCGACTCCTGATGAACATCGATCTGCTTCCATGATCTTGTGGGAGTAGATATGTCGCTGAATAGCGCGGAACCTCCGCTCCCAGGTTCATCCTGTGAATCTGCAACCATATCCATCACCGCAGGAAGAGCCATCAATCCATTGGATCCCTCTGAGCTGCTGTTCCCAAAAGTTGCAGTACTTGGGCTCGCCGAAGACGCCATTGTACTGTGTATGTTATCGTTCCTTTATTGTCCCTGTACCCGCAATAAACCAGCTGTCTCCCAGTCCAGTGTAGAGCTTGTAGTTACGGCTGATAACCTGTCAAGAGACGGCAAGGTGACGTCCCGTGGGACGCTGTGCACCGAACCCTCAAGCTTCAATACCAACCACGTAGAAAGGTGTATACGGACGATGCCGTTATAGCCGAACCCGTGTAAACGTTGTAAGGAAGAAGGAATGATAGTCACAACAGTAGTCCTGACAGTGCGGCGCAAGCAGTTGTTTTCCTCCTAATGCCAATCACGGATATCCGCAGTCACACATCAGATCTTGAACCTCAATTGTGTCTTGAGCCAAATGGCGATCAATGGAACTTGGGAAGCAACACCAACAAGGACCTCAGAACTGCTACCCAATTTCGGCACGGGGCCTAGAGGGTTTTAACAAGGATCCTGTCTGGAGGGCCTGGAAAAGTCCTGGAAAGGCCCAAGAGGGCCTGGAAATTCTCAAGCCTCCAGCTGCAAATGCGCTGAAAATCGCGAAGCCGAAGAAAAGCTTTTGTCACGAAAAGCATGACCTCCCGCTGGCCAGGCCGCCCGCTCCACGACTAGCGCCAGGACTTCTTGTTGCTTGGCGTTCAGGTTGGGCCGCTTGGCTTCCAGCCACCCGAGCTGGCCTGCCTTTGTCACAAGCGGGCGGACCGCGCTCACTCCCGGGCCCTCCTTTTGCATTGGCGCCTCCCTTGCTGGCTTTCTCCCCCTTGGCACGGGAGGCCTTGGCCGCCTCCTCTAGCTCGTCGTGGTCTTCCACGGCCGGCTTGGCCGCCATGTCGGCGTAGTGTTGGGCGAAGTTCGGGTCGCCCTCGCGGGACGCGGCCGACCCGCCCCAGACTTCTTTGGACAGCTGGGACATCTGTTCCGCGCGGGCGATTCGCTGCGCCTTGGCGGTCGCGTCCTCTGGCGTCTCTGCCTCGGCCTCTTCTTCCTCTTCTTCCCCAGCTTCGCCTGGCTGCGCGGCGCCTTTAATGCGCGTGGCTTGCGCCGCCATGAGGTCTTCTTCCTCGAGCTCCATCGGTTCGTCTTCGAACTCGTTCACGCTGTTTTACCGCGGCTTTCGCTCTTTCTTTCTTTTTCCTTCTTGGTTCTCTTTTCTCTTTATTTCCTTTTTTTCTTGACTGTGCGCGCGCGTGTGTATGCGCGATTGCGCGCGCGCAGTCGCAACCAACGCTCAAGACGCCACTGAGTCTGTAAACACGTCAAAGAAACGGCAGCAGCAAACCCCTGAGCGACAACTGTTCGCGGCATCCAGATAATGTCAGCAACATTCTCACACAGTAAAATTGAGGCGGCGCAGTAAAAAAGGAAAACACTTTCTGCCGAATCCTCGAAATGTCTAATGTTGGATTCTCCAAGCCTCATAATTTGGAGCCTGGAGTCCAACATATCCAAGTACACATTCCTTTCCAAATACGATTTTGATCCGAATTGAATTTGCGTATTGAATAGAATTTAGTAAGCACATAGTTCACCACCATTCATAATTCGCCATAATGTCTATATCAGATCAGAATTTGAGCAGGAATACCTCTCCAAATAAGGAAAATATCATTGCGGTAGAATCCAAATATACTTTAATGCAGACAAATTCAATTAGCTTTTGAACATAATAATCTAATCAAGAATCCATCCCTAAATACAACTTGAATTGGAATATAGCTTATTCTGCAAATAAATCACTTGGCCTTTGCAAACAAATTTTAATAGTAACTCATTCCCAAATATGATTTAGCTTAAATGTGGCTAAACAAATAAAGGGCACATATCCCCAGACTCCCAAACTTGGTCTGGAGATGTTTGGCATGTGCAGGTCTCAGAGCTTTCATTTTCAGGAGATTTTATGCTTTTGGGTCTGTGCAGGTTACAGAGCTCAACGCTGCCAAAAACGACATGTTTTCAATGTTTTTTTCCCTAGCGTGCTCAAAACCGCTGTAAAAACCAGTGTTTTCCAACAAAGCCAGACTTGAATCCGAAAACGGAATCCGTTTTCGCTTTGCTGCCTTTCAAGCCTCAAAGAACCAGACATCTGCTGTCATATAGAACCTAAAAACCAACAAAAACACTGTATTTTACAGTGTTTTCAGGCATTTGCAAGAAAGAGGCACACGTAGCAGAGTTGGCACCTTCAACTAGAAGAAGGCAAAGGTAGGCCCTGGGGGGGGGGGGTGACCATATATATATATATATACATTTGTTAATTTATATTTTATATATATATATACACACGCACACGCGCGTCGTTCTCTTTTTTTTGCGCGCGATCGACGCGTGTCTAAGTCAATCACACAAACGCGCGCGCAACTATGCACTCATATCTCAAAAATCTCAAACATACAAAAACAATTAGGACGCGTCGCGTATTACATAGCGGGCCGCGCGCGTAAATGTCGCGACGGATATCCGGAGACGAGGTTCAAATCGCAACCCGACCGCGCGACAAGGCGCTGACGAAAGCGAGGCTTAATGGCCGCCTCCACAATATTCGATCTATAACCGAGCCATTTCCGAAAACCCGTTGCGAAGGTCTTGAACTAGCAAGCGCGTCGCGATTCGCCACGCGTTGAGGCGTTTGCCTATACGTGATAACTACGAAAACGGATCGTCGCGATCGCGTCGTTTTTTAGTCATATTTATTTTCAAATGATTGCAACTCGTTTAATTATTGATATAGTTATTTTTTATTTTCTCGCTGAACTGCGCTGTGACACTTCACGCGTGTCGCGCCCTTTGACGAACCTGTAAGCGCGTCCGCCAAAGGGCGCGTCCGCGTCTGTATTGCGATTCGTTTGAAACACGCCAGCTGAACAAACGCGCAAGAGGTTAGATCATTGTTAGTCTAAAAAGGGCCGAACACGCAGCAAACTGTTTCAATTATGGCGCGTTTCAAACTAGCCGCGGCTGCTGCGTGCCTCTTCCGACTTCGGAGGAGCCTTCAGCACGCCCACTTTGACTCGAAGCTTTCGCTTCAAGTCCTTCTCCAGCCATTTTTTGTATTTGGCTATAATGCCGCGGGCCTCGTACTGTGAGAGGGCCACTTTGCCCTCTACGCAGTCCTCCGCGGTCTTCTTCGCATGTGCCTAAGTTTGACACTGCAAATCTGTCACTCGCGTTTTAAAACCCTGAAGGGCCCTGACAAAACCAGCCGGCGCGTCCGACTCGGGCAAGGGCGGTTTCGCCCGAGTTGCCCGGGGGCCGCGCGCTCGCTCGTCTTCCCCGTCTGACGCCTAAGCGCGCGCGGCAAGCGAAGACGCGCGCTTTGTTAGCTTTACTGCGAGACTAGTCTAAGACTACGGCATAGGCAGTGTTCATCTCAAGCACTTCCTCGCCATTGACCGAGGAAAAGCTGAAAGTTCTCTTCGCCTGCGCGCGTGCTTGCCGCGTTCGCGCCCTATGCAAAAGGACAACCGCCTCATCCGGGTGACAGTGGGTGAGGTCGTAGGTGGCACACACGTTCATAGCCAGACATTTACGGCAGTCCTAGTGGCGGGTTTGCCTCTCGCGCTCGCAACATCGCAGGGTCCGACTTTCCCCCCCCTTTTCCGGGAGCAAAATGTGTCTTTAACGCTCGCGCGCGCGTCGCGCTCTCGCGTCACCTCGAAGTGCTCTTGACTACGTGGTCTCACGCAACGCCACGCGCCCACGTTTGTTTACGCGGCTCGCTTTTTCCCGGAAGCATTGCGAAGGGTTCTTCTTCTAAAAGCGGCTGCCAACTTCACCTGCCAACTTCTCATGCCAACTTGTCGAGAGTTACTTCACCTGCCAACTTCTCATGCCAACTTGTCGAGAGTTACTTCACCTGCCAACTTCTCATGCCAACTTGTCGAGAGTTACTTCACCTGCCAACTTCTCATGCCAACTTGTCGAGAGTTACTTCACCTGCCAACTTCTCATGTCAACTTTTCGGCTGTTATCTCATTCTACTAAAAGCACAAGCTAATTTGTCGGGTGTTACTTCACTATCCTAAAAACACAAGCTAACTTTTCTGTTCTACCTTCACATCTCGACTCTTAATTCTTCTTCTTTTTATGGCGGGGGTAGGCCCGACGGGAGCTTACGAAACGCACCCCTCTGCGGAGATCGTGCGTGTCGAAGCGCTCTCGCTGTGGCGCCGTGCGAATTTGTCTTGACCTTGGCGAACCCTCTGCGGAGATCGTGCGTGTCGAAGCGCTCTCGCTGTGGCGCCGTGCGAATTTGTCTTGAGCGCGGCGAACCCTCTGCGGAGATCGTGCGTGTCGAAGCGCTCTCGCTGTGGCGCCGTGCGAATTTGTCTTGACCTTGGCGAACCCTCTGCGGAGATCGTGCGTGTCGAAGCGCTCTCGCTGTGGCGCCGTGCGAATTTGTCTTGACCTTGGCGAACCCTCTGCGGAGATCGTGCGTGTCGAAGCGCTCTCGCTGTGGCGCCGTGCGAATTTGTCTTGACCTTGGCGAACCCTCTGCGGAGATCGTGCGTGTCGAAGCGCTCTCGCTGTGGCGCCGTGCGAATTTGTCTTGACCGGCGAACCCTCTGCGGAGATCGTGCGTGTCGAAGCGCTCTCGCTGTGGCGCCGTGCGAATTTGTCTTGACCTTGATGAACCCTCTGCGGGGATCGTGCGTGTCGGATCGCTCTCGCTGTGGCGCCGTGCGCATCTGTCTTGAGCCCGATGAACCCTCTGCGGAGATCGTGCGTGTCGAAGCGCTCTCGCTGTGGCGCCGTGCGATTTTCTTGCTCGCGAAACGGCTTTTGGAAGTTGTCTCGTGGTGTGCGCGCCTGCTTTCGCAATCCCGCGGTCCCGGGTTCGATTCCCCCCTGGTCCGCGGCAGCTCCGGCTTGAAAATCGCAGCTTTTAAGTACAAACGTAGTACGCGGAGCGTGCTCCTGCAGCTCCGGCTGGAAAATCGCAACTTTTAAGTACAGACGTAGTACGCGGAGGCTGCTGCAGCTCCGGCTGGAAAATCGCACTTTTTAAGTACAGACGTAGTACGCGGAGCGTGCTCCCGCAGCTCCGGCTGGAAAATCGCAACTTTTAGATACAAATGGCTGGAAAATCGCAACTGTAAATTGCAAATGTAGCACGCGGAGCGCCTCCGCCGCTCCAGCTTTTTGAGGGTTAATTACTTCACCTGCCAGTTTCTCATGCCGAAACTTCGAGAATTACTTCACCTGCCAGCTTCTCATGCCACCTTTTCGAGAGTTACTTCACCTGCCAACTTCTCGTGCCAACTTTTCGAGGAGTTACTTCACCTGCGAGCTTATCATGCCAACTTTTCGAGAGTTACTACACCTGCGAGCTTCTCATGCCAACTTTTCGAGAATTACTTTACCTGCCAACTTCTCATGCCAACTTTTCGAGAAATACTTTACCTGCCAACCTCTCGTGGCAACTTCACCTGCCAACTTTTCGAGAATTACTTCACCTGCCAACTTCTCATGCCAACTTTTCGAGAAATACTTTATCTGCCAACCTCTCGTGGCAACTTTTCGAAAAATTACTTCACCTGCCAGCTTCTCATGCCAACTTTTCGAGAGGTACTTCACCTGCCAACATCGCCTGCCAACTTTTCGAGAGTTACTTCGCCTGCCAACTTCTCGCGCCAACTTTTCGAGAATTACTTCGCCTGCCAACTTCTCATGCTAACTTTTCGAAAGTTACTTCACCTGCCGGCTTCTCACGCCAACTTTTCGAGAGTTACTTCACGCGCCATCTTCTCGTGCCAACTTTTCGAGACTTACTTCACCTGCCAGCTTCTCACGCCAACTTTTCGAGAGTTACTTCACCTGCCAACTTCTCATGCCAACTCTTTGAGAGTTATTTCACCTGCCAACTTCTCATGCCAACTTTTCTCTTGAGTTACTTCGCCTGCCAACTTCTCATGTCAACTTTGCGAGAATTACTTCACCCGCCAACTTTGCCAGCCAACTATTCGAGAGTTACTTAACCTGCCAGCTTCTCATGCCAACTTTTTGAGAATTGCTTCGCCTGCCAACTCCTCATGCTAACTTGGCGAGAGTTACCTCACCTGCATCAACTTGCCT